TAGGTAGGCACCCGATGATATCCGAGTGCCTCCAAGATGCAGCTCCAGGGCAGGGAGTTGAAGGCGTTGGCGATGTCCAGAGACACCACCACAACGACCTTACCCCTGGGCACTGCAGTCCCCGTCGTCCGGTCCCTAACGCGCATGATGGCGTTCACCGTGTAGCGCCCTCTGCGGAAGCCGAACTGGCCGTCCGACAGGTCCGGCCCAATGTCCGTCAAGTGCGCGACGAGGCGGTTCGAAATTATTCTTTCGAAGACTTTCCCCACCTCGTCGAGCAGCACTATAGGCCGGTACGCGGACGGAGAGTCCGCAGGGCGCCCCGTCTTCCGCACGAGGACCAGTTTACCCGTTTTCCAGAGCAGCGGGAACTGGCCTCTCTCCAAGCATGCGCTGTAAAGACCGATTAATCGAGGCCCGAGAGCCTCTGAGGCCAGGATCCCTACTTTGCCATGCAAGCCGTCGGGTCCTGAGGCGGTGTTCTTGGCGCCCATCCGGTGCACCGCCGCTCTCAGTTCTGCCTCGGTCACCTCTGAGACGATGTCGTCGTCGTCGTCGCTATAGCCTGCGTTGGCCACCGCAGGGGGCGGAATCATATACGGAGGGGTGAAGCCCCTCCACAGTCGGGGGAACAGGGCGCCAATCACCTCCTCTAAGACTTCTGACCGGAGACTCTGAGTGAGCGGGGAAGCCCAAGCGCGGAGCTTGTCGCGTACCATCCGGTACTGGCGTCCCCACGGGTCTCTGTTCAGAGTCCCCAGCATACCACGGCGGGCCTCCTCCTTGGCCCGCAGTATTTCCGCCTTGAGGACGGCCTTCGCCGCCCTGTATCCCTCGTACGACTCCGCCTCTCTTGCCTCCGCATTCGGAGGACGGATGCAGCGCCTGCGGTGCCTAGTGTACTGGCGTCACGCAGCAGTGCACGCATTGCGTAGAGCTGCCAGCTCTTGCGACCACCGTACACCTGGCGCTTTTGTTGCCTTGATCGGATCCGGGGCATCGCCTCGTCACAAATCCTGGACATGGCGTCCTGGAACCATTTGGCCTCATCGTCAATGTCGGCAGGCCTGGTGGTATCACCCACGATAGCGGCTTCCAGGAGCAACTCCCGGTCCAGCTGTTTCAGCGCCCAACGCAGGTCATATGGGGCCTGTCTGACCGGCGGGTCCGCGGACTCGGCGGAGACGTCGAACCGGATATACCGGTGGTTGGAGTACGTCTCCACCTCCTCAATGACGTAATTACTACAGCCGCGGTCCTAGGGGCGAGGAGCAAGGCAGCAGCCCGTTTCTCCCTGCGCTGCTGCTGCCGTCGCTGCCGCTGCGCCTTCTTGCGGCGCTTACGGCCTTCCTTGGCGACTCTCCTCGCCTCACCAGCGATTTGCCACCTACCGCCGTCCTCCGCTCGCGGGGTGGGTTTCACCGCCGCTGCTGCAACTCCAGCCTGCCGGGATGGAGTGCCTCTCCTTTTTTTGTTTCGTCCCGCGGGCGTAGGCGCCACGGGCGCAGGTGCCGCGGGCACAGACGCCCAAAGTTATAGTATAGGTACTATTGTTTGTGTATGTAATATTGCGAGCAAGACTTAAGGTGGATATACATTTGTCTGATGTCGTTTGATATGTGTTGTTGATTCAAGATCGTTTAAAAATGCGATACAGGTTTAGATAGTACAGTCGTGTCATTTCTGCGCCCCTCCAGGGTCTGCGCCCTGTGCCTAGGCACCGCTGGCACCGCCCTATTTACGGCGCTGGTCGACAGATAATCTGCTAACTCGCTGTTTTTACCTTTTACTTTTATGTTATGTAAGATTTATTTTAGTACTTTATAGTGTTAATTTATTTATAATTTTAAAATGAAAAATATTGTACTGAATAGCCTGAAACACAGGTTCAACCTAGTTCAGGCAAATAAGCTACTGAGCTCTAATCAAATCGTTAAGATACTATTCATGTAAAATATGTCCCTTTTTTTTATTAAATAAATAAATAAAAAATAAATTAATATGGGACTTCAAAAATAATAAAACTTAGGTTGTATTCATTATTTCTATTATATTTCATAGCAGTATAATCGATTTCAAATAGATCGATTTACAATTATTGTTTTTTATATGGCAACACGATGCTTAAAAATATTGCGTCGTATTCAAAATGACAGTTGTCATTCGCTTTGTTTATTTGCATCATGATTGTTGTTTTGTGAGTTTTATAACGAATACTAGTTTTGTTTTTGCAATGGATTCCGATTCGTCCCTTCTTGACGACCCCGGCACTTTCATGGATCCCGAAATTTCTATTTACGTTGAACTTGGCATACCTACGGACACCGAACTTCGCTCTAGAGATAAGCCGGGGCTTGAATGTGGACATGGATCCCGTGTTGATACTTGATACAAAATTAGCTGTAGATCCTCATTCTTATTGATTTGAGCTAATAAATCAAACACATATTATTAGCTGCACTGTTTGTTTAAGAGTGACCAATGTCCCCTAGAAATTGGACAATTCCCTTTACGTCAAGTATAATGTCATAAAAAAAAATTCGGTTAAAGCGAACGTGTGCATATGAGTGAGTGATTTTAGGCAGTGTATAACTTTTTGCTCGACATAAGTTTTTTAGTGATACCTCCTAGCAAAGGGCATTGACTAAAATTGGTGCCTTTTTTTTCTGGCAGCAGTCGATGATTCATGGAAAATATTATCAAGAATGTCGTTACAAACGAAATTGTCTATGGGCTCATATATGGAAATCTCAGTCTGGACTGAGTTATGAGCGTTGAAAGAAGCTGGAGTTAAACATTTTACTTTGGTTTTTTATTCAAATTATTCATATTTTTGTCACAATTCCTAACTTCAAATTGCGCGCCACTGTACGCCAGGTACAGAAACACCATATCACACCGCAATATATCCACATTGCTAGTCGTCAATTTTTATTAGCTATTTTCTCTCAGTCGATAACTTGTGGGATGCTTCTAGGAGTCGTGTCATGAAGCTTCATGAGTATCAGCTGTGGTACCAGTGGTGGGTGGAGTAGTGGTTGCCGTCCAAACATCTCATAATTTTTTTTTGCCCTTGACTCCTGTTGGGAGACTCATCTACTTTATAGTTAGCATAATCTTTTGAAGAAAAGAAACCGTCGACTTTGTAAAGTGATGGACTATACATCAAATGAGCGCATAATTTTTTCATATAATGTGATCAGTCGAAATATAATCCATCACTTTGTGACTGAATGACGATATCTTTGTACAGAATCTTATGCTAGCTATAGATTAAAGTATTAACTGGAGTTAAATTAATCGGAAGTAAGTCAGGAGAAGTAGACAGAAAAATGATTTATATCGTGCTTTGACGACTGCCACTACTCAATCCGCTACCGACGCCGCAACTGACATGTTAGTCAGCTGCGGCATTTCATAATAGGGTTCAGCAAAGTATTTAGCGGGTTTTAAAAATGGGTTCCCTTTTCTTTATACTATGTTCTAGCGTTTGTATAATTATGGTCTACAGTCGAGGATCCCCTCCTAAAGCCGGCTTGTTCTACAGGTTGACTCTCATCAATTGTGTTACTTATTTTTTGATTTATGATTGAAGAGAATAATTTGTAGTTCACGATATCTTTGGAGTGTTGCGACACCTGCAGATCTGTGTTCCGGACCGGTATGTGTGGAGGCGGGGGCATCCGCCTCTCCGCTCCTCTCCGCCCATCAAGAACTTGCTGGCAAAGGCTCCCCTCACTAGTGCCATAAGTGCCTTGAACGATGTTCATGAAAGGGTAGATGTCTTGGGTTGCGGTGTGAGTGAATTCGTAAAAGTCACTTTGTACATAATATTATGTTATTCAAATGTTAGTTAAAATATTATTATTAACTTATTTTAACTTTATGTTTGTTAATTGTTATGCAGTACGCAGTGCACCTTTGATCTCGTGACCGTGTTGTTAGTATGTTAGTATGGTCTTATTTATTAGGTATTGTAATAGATTAATGTTATGTTTTAAGACTGGTAGTTTATGTTGTATTTATGTAAACTTAACAATGTAAATATTATTTTTTTTCTATTTTTGTAACATACAAACATCAAACATAACATCACGTCTTTTTATCCCCGAAGGGGTAGGCAGAGGTGTACATTTCGGCACTTAATGCCACTGTACAATGTAACACCCACTTTTCACTATTTATGTTATGAGTCCCATGTAATAGGGGGTGAGCCTATTGCCATATACCGGGCACATTTCCAGACTCCGTGCTACTACTGAATTTTTTTTAAAAACCCAGTAATACTTTGCCCGACCCGGGAATCGAACCCGAGACCCTTTGCCCGGCAGTCGCACTTGCGACCACTCGGCCAACGAGGCAGTCTATTTTTGTAATATTTGTTTATTTTTGTATTTTAGTATTTCCGATTATTAAGTTTCGTTTAGCCAAGAATTTGTTTATTTTTGTTTTTCTTTGTGATTATGTTATGTTTGGACTAACATAGATTTCGTTTTAAGGCCTAGCTATGGCAATGGAGAAACCTGTGAATGATAGTTTAGGTAAGATTGTATATATATATATATATATATATATATACATACACAATAATACAACTAATAATAGTATAATAATATAAATACATACAACAATGGTATACTTATCAATATAATAAATATAAAAAGTAATGTAAAATAAAATAATAAAAAAGAAAAATGTTATTTCTTTCATTAAGCAAAATGTTTATTTTGCTACGGTCGCAATGGTGTGTGGATTCTGGTGTCTGTATGGTGTCTAGTTTGGTGGGTTACGGGCATCAAGTTTGCACGAATGGTTGCGCCGCCATGGTGTCCTGGTATGATGTAACCTAAGTCTCATTATTTCTGTTTTCAGTGACGCCGTCTGGTCATGTGATTACTGTTTGCTGTATGTTAGTGGCAGTGGACCTCGTGGGAACCAGAGAATGGCCTGATCACAAAACTGACCCCTTGCTTTTCATTGCTAATCCCATTGAATCCGAAATGCCCAGTCATTGGTTACCGAAAAGTATCGTCAAAGAAATTATCTTCAAACGTACAACCTCTGAGAAACCAAGATACGTAATACCGTGGAATTTAGTAAAAAACCTGAAATTCCCTAAACGGCCTCCAAATACTAGGCCAATACAAATTATGACCTCTTCGGAAAAAATCTCAAGTTTAATAGAGAATACAGTTTATAAAGTTCATGTGACACAACTGCCTACTACGACTGCTCTGACTTCTACTAATACTGCGACTGCTCCAACTACTCCGACTATTTCGACTTCTTCGACTACTACGACTACTCCGACTACTACGACTACTCTGACTACTACGAATACTCCGACTACAACGACTACCCTGACTGCTACGAATACTCCGACTACTCAGACTACACCAACTACAACGACTACTCCGACTACTCCGACTACTACGAATACTCCGATTACTACGACTACTCCGACTACTACGACTACTCCGACTACTACGACTACTCCGACTACTACGACTACTCCGACTACTACGACTACTCCGACTACTACGACTACTCCAACTACTACGACTACTCCAACTACTACGACTACTCCAACTACTACGACTACTCCGACTACTACGACTACTCCAACTACTACGACTACTCCAAAAAAAAAAGGAAAAAAGCCTAACCGCAAACCTTCCAGTGAAGACTTGGTTGATGGCAATCATTAATCCCAGTATTGTAAGGCCGTTAATCCTGTTCCCGGAAACGAATCCGTGTGCATAGGCGACGCCAATTGCTTACCATCACGTGATCTGTCTGCTCGTTTACGGACGGAAGGCAACAAAAAATATTCTGTTTTCTGAGTCATTTATAATGTTATAAAAATATTGTCAAATACGGGGGCCACATAAGCCAGGCTATCCATGTTTATTAATTACTTTGGTAATATACTTAGTTCAGTGTTATACACAAAAAGAGAGGTTACTTCTTTTTGTCTATGACCCGATGTGGAGCTCGCTAATTCACTAATCTCCATTGATACAAAGATATATGTAGATCTGAAATACCTATGAAACAAACGTGCCTACCTTGTGATTCGTAATGGCGGATCGAACTAGGGATGTGGCTTTTGAAACCGTAGGAGTTTAGATATGTTGGTATGGTTTTAATTGACTTATCGAGAAAAGTTCATTATTTAATTATTTATCTAGCTTTGGTTTTTATGTAGCTACAACCCGCCTTTTTTCCACGTGAAATTTGTTTCCTGTGAGAATTTTGGGGTTAATTGTAGATACAGTTATGATTGGGGAAATTCGGGGGACACGGAGCTTGTATTTAAAGCTCAAAAGAAGTGCATTAGAGCAATATGCCAAATAAATAACACAATTAGCTGTCAACCTTACTTTGAAAATCTAAAAATTCTCACATTGCCTTCCCTATACATTTACGAATCAAGTATTTCTGTGAGCAGCTGACAAAAGCTATTACCGAAAATTAAGGGATAAAAAAATGTTAGAGGTATAAGTTCTTTATGCATGACATCATTAATATATAACACATTGCTTGATGACATTAAACAATTACCAATCCACCAGTTTAAAAATAAATTACATTCATTCCTAATAGTGAGATGTTATTATGATGTTAAAGATTACTTGTGTGACAAAAATATTGTATTCCAGTGACAAGAAAAGTAAATATGTATGTGTACCTCTATAATAATATAATGAACTGTAGTTGATACGTTTAATTTGCTTGTCTTTCCACTTTTTAAGATTTATGTAAGAATGTTATTTGCAATTTGTAATAATGAATTATAATTTATTAGGACTTTAAATTGAATTTGTATGCATTGGAATATTTTAAAACTGTATTCAGACTAAATATGACTAATTGTGTTTTAAATTCTGTATTGTATTTTATTATTGTATGCCTCAACGGCGGGACATAGCTGTTACTTATTTTAGTTATTTGAGACCTGTATTTATGATGCATACCTATAGTCCACAATAAAGACGATTTGATTTGATTTGATGTGATGATACTGAGTTCACATTATTTCAAATATTAGCGAAATCTATTTAGTAGTTACCTTTTTTCGATAGGCCGTTAAGCAAGCATACGATCACCTGATGGTAAGCAATCGGCGCCGCCCATTTTATGGACACAATGCGGGGAGGAATGGAAGCCGGTAATTTCACTCAAGCGGCGAAACACAACGCAAGCGTTGATTCACGCCGATTTTCTGTGAGGCCGCGGTATCACTCCGGTCGATCACGTCATCATAACTTTAACGATACATATCATGATGTATGAAAAGGATTTTCTATCAACTGTCAACATTTACATGTTTAAGATTAAGTCATTTTTGGGTGTTGATAAATAAAACTGTTCATATGCCTAATAAATATTTATAATATACAATGTTTTCTTATGTTTCGTATTGTTTCCCTGTAAGATTGACAACACGGTTGGTTGGTGCGGTGGCTGGGCAACTGGCTGCCGCACAACGTGTCGCGGATTCGATTCCCGAACGGAACAACTCATTGTTGTTGTTCCGGGTTTGTGTGTGATGTGTATGTGAACCTGTATGTTTGTTAACGCACCCACGCCACAGGAGAAAATCCTAGTATGGGGCAACGTTTTATAAAATACTAGCTGACCCGCACCCACTTCGTTGGGCGGTAAAGAGCCCATGTCACTGTCCATCCTTTTATTTAACTATCGCCACTTAAAAAAAACATCAATTCGTCACTCCGTTTTGCCGCGAAAGATGGACAAACGGCATCATCATTATCCACAGGCTGCATAGAATGTCTTTATGAGAATGTTAAAGTTGTTAATGATGAAAATATTTAAATGTAATTGATACTAAGTTTTCACTACTGCCGGGAGTCCCGAAGTGTAACCCGGTTGTTTTAGGACAGATAAAAAAGCGATTATTGTAGAGCTTCTCTATAAACAACATTTGTAGTAAAATTATTTTCTGGTAACAAAATATACTGATGGTCGGGAGCCCCGACCCGTGATAGAGCAATGTAAAGTTGCCCATGCGTAAAACATTCTTTTCGTAAATCAATTCCTACTAATTTGAATGTTTGGCCCTGGGATTTGTTATCGTTTGTGCGAAAGAAATTTTTACTGGAAATTGGAGCCTTTTGAAGGGTATAGGGAAATCAGTAGGAATCATGGGTATTCTTGGTATATGAGCTAATTCACCAGCTGCAGGGCCGGTGATAATCTTCGCTACTATTATTAATTATCCTTTAGCTCGTTCTTTATAAGAAGTCTCGTGCCATTACACATGTTAGGGGGGTTTAAATTTCTGGGAAGCATTATCGGCGTGCCTACTTTTAACGACAGTTCATGAGATGGTAGCCCAGCGGGGTTCAGAGATTTTAAAAATTCCTGGGGATAGTGTACTGCGTCCCCGATGTTAGTGACGGTGTCTATGGATTTATAGCACTTAACTTCACCCAGTACTTTCTGCATTATTTTATTGTTTACTAGCTGTGCCCGCGACTTCGTTCGCGTGGTTGTCGAAAACAAAACAACATCGTTTAGATAACAGTGGGCTATATACATATGAACTCCACTCAAAAAGATGGTATAGTATTTTTTTCCAATAAAGATCCTGACTATAGTATATTTTTATTTGGTAATATTGGTATGTAGTTGATTACGTTAATGATTCCCTGTATAATAAATTAGCGGTTGAATTACCCGGAGCATTACACAAAAAGGTTTTGTTTTTTTTCTTTGAGGCATTTTTAAGGAAAATATGAAAACAATATACAAAACCGACAAAATTTTAAAGATCGGTGCGTCGAATAGTCTCGTATGATAGCAAATCGTCTGTTCATGGTCACGACTTAACGAATTCGTTGCACTCACTGTAACGATTGGCACTATTCAAACTCAGAAGTAAATACTTCTACTTTAGGGATGATACGTATTTACTGGTACAGGTATAAATACCTAGTTAGAGCTTACCAGTATGCATACTGGATATGTAAACAGAAACCCGGTCCCTATTCGTTCCGTTCGTATTCATGACCTTTGATCTCGTGTAAAATGCGGACATCGTCTAGAGTCTAGACAGTAACGCATCGGCCAGGGTTGTCAAAAATATGAGCTTATGGCACCGACTAAAAGTCGGTCAGTGGGTGAGTAACTCATCAGTACTAATATGGTAATTTATTTGTTTTTAGTTTTTAGGATTTTTGAGAAATCGGTTTTTTAAACGCAGTTTTTTTTTATTTTATCATTTTTAGTTTTGCCACTTATAATCCACATAGGTGAAAAGTTCTAATCAATACAAATTATACAAACCCAAACACAATGTAGTTACGTGAAAACGACAACCATGACGATAAATTGAAAATTTCATGCAGCCGCCATCTTGGATTTACATTTTGACAGCACCATCGAGTTTACTACCCTCGAAAACCATGAAAATGACACCCATGACGATAAATTGAAAATTTCATGCAACGGCAAATATACATAAAAAAGAAACAATCATTCGAACATAGTGCCTCCTCCTTTTTTTGAAGTCGGTAAAAACAAACACGCGTTAGCTACTAACATCGTTTTGTCCGCAGCTCGAGATCGGCCTACCCGCGTCTCGCCCTTCACACCCCGCACGATTGCCCTGTCTAGACGTCTTCGTTGGACGACTGTATAGACTGTGACAGAACTGACAGTACGGCCCCATTGACCGGGTCTGACGCCATACTCACTAATACCCAGTGTGGTCGTTCATAATCATAATGCAGCTCGCCTCGCGCTTGCCACTCACGCGGAGAATTACGAATTTACCCGAACGATCACGACGCTTCCCGAATACACTCGGTGATACAAATTTGTTCTTTATTTCTACGTGCATTCAGAAGTTTATTGCGTAATAATGTTAAAGAGACATTTTGAAATATTAAAGCATTTTTCCGTAAATTAGTTATTTACGTTAATAAAGATAAAAGTAATATTACTGAACGGAGATCGCAACTTGGTAGTCGAAATTTGTAGCAACTGCTAGTTCTGCACCAAACCAAAAAATAAATGACAGTAAATAAAAATAGAAAAAAAAATAATAAATAAAAAAACAACAAAAAAATAACTAATTAATTATTGTAAATACAGTGATTTGAAAAACACACACTACAACTACAATTACTTGTATACTGGACTGATTTTGGTAGGTTTCGTTCAAATACATGTTAGAAAAAGGTCAAAGTCAAAGTCAAAGTCAAAGCATTTATTTCAATTAAACCATAGTTTGGTACGTTTGAAACGTCAACAAATACAAAAAATACATATAACATCTATGAGACTACCCAAATTATGGACTATTTGGCCTAAAGACTCATCTAAAGTAACTGCATAATTGGTGCCCAAATTTAAAAATGGAAAAATTCTCTATCTTTGGTTGAGAAAAGAGCTCTCATGTTGGTGCGCAAATACAAATGTTGAACAGATGTCCAAAGTTGAGACGATTTTAAACATGCCTTCATAATATCTGCTCGCGTACCTCTGTTGACGACTGGAAGCGTTTGTCGGAAATCTCCAGCAAATACACATAACATTAGCAGAGCTTCGGAGGTCTTTTAAAGTACGGTCCACGGCCTCCACATGAGTTCTATGACTCATGGTGCATTCATCCCATATTACCAACGACTCGTCTTGCAGTAACTTACCAA